AGCTCCCTATGGGGCCACGAAACGTGTGAAGGGTGTGCCGAAATGAGTGTGCGGGACGCATGCGGGCACACGCACTGGGACCTTCGGTGGAGCTCCCTATGGGGTCACGAAACGTGTGAGGGGTGTGCCGACATGGGTGGTGATAATGATGATGACGACAGATGATGATGACGATGACGATGATGGGGATGATGACGATGATGATGAAGATGGGAGGAGGGAGGGGGCAGCGGGAAGGAAGGAACGCGGGGCGACGTCTCTTCAAAACGAGGACCCAACACCACAGGATGGTTGGGAAAAAAAAAAAAAAAAAAAAAAAAAAAAAAAAAAAAAAAAAAAAAAAAAATTATCCTGGCGAAGGACCCAACCATATGCAACTAGAACCACGCGCGCGCTTCGCGCGCGCTTAGGTTCTGTCGAGTCACAGACCCAGGAATCGTTGCGAGAAGAAATTGGTGACGCGAAGCGTCTTGGGGGCGTCCTTGGACGTCTGGGGTCTCCTGGGGCCTCTTGAGGGGCCTCCTTGGGGCCTTCTTGGGCTCCATCTGGAAGCCAAGATGGATGCAACAAGAGGGTGCTTGGGCTCTCCGTGAGCTATCCTCTGGTTTTCATTCCCCTGGAGAGGAGAGGAGGAGGAGGAGGAGGAGGAGGAGGAGGAGGAGGATGAGAAGGAGGAGGAGGAGGAAGATGCAGAGGAGGGAGGAGGAGGAAGGAGAGGAGATGTTGGGGCGCTTTTGGGGCCCTCTTGGGCTCTCTTGGGGCTCGTCGGGGCCCTCGTGGGGCCACCTTGGGCTCCTCTCGGAGCTCCAAGAGGAGCCCACAGAGGGGCCCAACATCGGTCACGCGCGAGCTCTTTCGCGTGACCGATGTTGGGGCCCTCTTGGGGCCCTATTGGGCCTCCTTGGGCCCTCTTGGGGTCTCGACGGGGCCCTCGCGGGGCCATCTTGGGCTCCTCTCGGAGCACCAAGAGGAGCCCAAAGAGGGGGCCCAACATCGGTCACGCGATAGCTCTTCCGCGTGACCGATGTTGGGGCCATCTTGGGGTTCCTTGGGCCTCCTTGGGCCCACGTGGGGCTCCCTCGGGGCACTCGTGGGGCCATCTTGGGCCCCTCTTGGAGCTCCAAGAGGAGCCCAAAGAGGGGCTCAACATCGGTCACGCGAGGGCTCTTCCGCGTGACCTATGCTGGGGCTCTCTTGGGTCCCTCTTGGGCCTGCTTGGGTCCTCTTGGGGTCTCGTCGGGGCCCTCGTGGGGCCATCTTTGGCTCCTCTCGGAGCTCCAAGAGGAGCCCACAGAGGGGCCCAACATCGGTCACGCGAGAGCTCTTCCGCGTGACCGATGTTGGGGCTCTCTTGGGGCTCTCTTGGGTCCCTCTTGGGCCTCCTTGGGCCCACGTGGGGTCCCCTCTGGGCCCCCTCTTGGGCCCGTCTTGGGGCCCTCTTGGGCCATCTTGGGCGCCTCTTGGGCCGTCTTGGGGCCCTCTTGGGCTGTCCTGGGGCCCTCTGGGAAGCTTCTTGGGCCGTCTTGGGGCGGTCTTGGGCGCCTCTTGGGCCGTCCTGTAACGTCGGAAAGCCCAAAAGACAACTTTGTTGAAAATGTACGTTTTACGAAGGGAATGGGCCAATTTTTGCATCTAGTGCCCCTCTTGGGACGCATGTTGGAGGCTTCTTGGGGCCTCTTGGGGGCGTCCTTGGACGTCTGGGGTCTCCTGGGGCCTCTTGAGGGGCCTCCTGGGGGCCTCCTGGCGGCCTCTTGGGGCGGAAGGCTCGAGCTTGCGGTTCGTGGTCCCCCTCTGGGCCCTCTCTTGGGCCCGTCTTGGGGCCCTCTTGGGCCATCTTGGGCGCCTCTTGGCCGTCTTGGGGCCCTCTTGGCTGTCCTGGGGCCCTCTTGGAAGCTTCTTGGGCCGTCTTGGGGCGGTCTTGGGCGCCTCTTGGGCCGTCCTGTAACGTCGGAAAGCCCAAAAGGCGACTATGTTAAAAATGTACGTTTTACGAAGGGAATGGGCCAATTCTTGCGTCTAGGGGCCCTCTTGGGACGCATGTTGGAGGCTTCTTGGAGCCTCTTGGGGGCGTCCTTGGACGTCTGGGGTCACCTGGGGCCTCTTGAGGGGCCTCCTGGGGGCCTCCTGGCGGCCTCTTGGGGCGGAAGGCTCGAGCTTGCGGTTCGTGGTCCCCCTCTGGGCCCCCTCTTGGGCCCGTCTTGGGGCCCTCTTGGGCCATCTTGGGCGCCTCTTGGGCCGTCTTGGGGCCCTCTTGGGCTGTCCTGGGGCCCTCTTGGAAGCTTCTTGGGCCGTCTTGGGGCGGTCTTGGGCGCCTCTTGGGCCGTCCTGTAACGTCGGAAAGCCCAAAAGGCGACTTTGTTGAAAATGTACGTTTTACGAAGGGAATGGGTCAATTTTTGCGTCTAGGGGCCCTCTTGGGACGCATGTTGGAGGCTTCTTGGGGCGTCTTGGGGGCGTCCTTGGACGTCTGGGGTCTCCTGGGGCCTCTTGAGGGGCCTCCTGGGGGCCTCCTGGCGGCCTCTTGGGGCGGAAGGCTCGAGCTTGCGGTTCGTGGTCCCCCTCTGGGCCCCCTCTTGGGCCCGTCTTGGGGCCCTCTTGGGCCATCTTGGGCGCCTCTTGGGCCGTCTTGGGGCCCTCTTGGGCTGTCCTGGGGCCCTCTTGGAAGCTTCTTGGGCCGTCTTGGGGCGGTCTTGGGCGCCTCT